ACACACGCTCGTCTTTGATTTCTAGTCAGTTACCATGATCCCAAAGTCTTTGCTTTTAATTTCTTCAAGAGCCAAACTAACCAATGATGCTGATCTAGAGACAAGGTTAACGCAAGCCACCAGTAGCCAGACCAACGGGCCCCTGACCTAGAAATCTTTCCAAACAAATTGTGATAAAATAGGGTTGGGAGGAAAACGAGGGGAGGGGATAACGAGTGACATTTGGTCCAAATTTGGAGCTGCGTCCAAGTTTCAAATTTTGTCCTAATGTGATGTTTTGTCCCAATGCGAAGCATTTCGCTGGGATCTTTACAGCTGATCAAAATCCCAGAAAGAAACATTTAGAGAGAGAGAAAAAAAAAATCAAAACCTTTTCCTCCAACATTTGGAATTTTGCCAGTGAGCCAGTGAAGTTTCTGAATTGTAGACAAATCTTAACCAATCCCACGCCCTAGGGCCCGATCCAGCAAAGCGCTTAAGCACACACTTAACTTTAAGCATGTGAGTCGTCCCACTGACTTCATCAGAACTTCTGGCGTGCTTAAAGTTAAGCAGGCTCCATGGGGCTTCCCTGGCTCAGGTCCCAGCGCTCAGCATCTCACAGGAGCGGGCCCCGAGTTATCCTAGGATAATGCACGAGGGGGCGGAGTCTGCTTTTCCACTGACAAGTTGGCACACCCAGCAGAAGTCTGTTCTTAACAGCACAACGGCCTGATCCTCAGCTCGTGTGAACTGGCAGACGCCAACGGAGCTGCAGCCAATTCATACCAGCTAAGGATCTGGCCCCATTGACTTTAGTGGAGCCACGCAGATTTACATCCACTGGGGATCTGCCCCACTAGGCGGAATTCACACCGGCACGTGTCTTTTTTGTCACGTTAAATTCTAGTTCAAGCGTGTAAGTGACGCATAGATCTGGAGTCAGCCTGCTGAACGGGGGTGAATTTTACATATTCGGATTGATTGGAAATTTTTTTTTAAACGATTATACTTTGATATTACGTTCTTAAAGTGTTAAAAATACACACACTAGAAACATTTCTGTGGGAGGGCATCTCAAACCCACCACAGCTGGTGGCTTAAAAATTATTAATTAAGAGGATTTATGCTCTTACAATTTTTGGAAGCACAATTTTTGCAGGCAGCCGTTTTCCAGACACACAAGACTAGTTCATTTCTCTGCCCCGCCCCACTGCCACTTCTCTTTTCACTAAAAAGAAGATCAAATGGTCAAACATTCCAGGCGAGGAGGAAAAGTTTTTACTAAAAAAAAATCTAAACAAAAAAACAACCACCTCACCCTTTCTTTCTGCTGCAGCTGTGTGCGTGAGAGAGAGGGGAATGTATTTGCAGTCAAAAGAAACCATGACTAATAAAGATTGTAAGCAGCTTGGAGATCTATTGATGAAAACCACTATATTAATAATATCACCTCGCAGGAAGATCTGGGTAATTACAAGTCTGATACAAAATGCAGCTGTAACAGCGTGTGCTCATCACACCATCGCGGAGTGGGCAGAACGGTTTTACAGCCACTCACACCTCGCATGGGGATATTCAGCAAAGCCGTTTAATAGGGAATAAAGGACACGGAACCATAGAAATGTGGGGCTGGAAGGGACCTCGAGAGGTCGCCATGTCCAGCTCCCTGCGCCGAAACTGGGCCAAGTAAACCCGGACCATCCCCGACAGCTAATCGTCCAGCCTGTCCTTAAAACCCGGCCACGATGGAGATTCCACCACCTCCCTTCCACGCCCCCTCTAGTTGCAAAGCTTTTCCTAATATCTGACCTAAATCTCCCTTGCTGCAGATTAAGCCCGTTACTTATTGTCGTGTCTCCGGTGGACAGGGAGAACGACGGATCCCTGTCCCCTTTATAACGGCCCTTAACATAGCTGAAGATTTATCAGATCCCCCTTCAGTCTGCTTTTCTCAAGGCTAACCAGGCTCGGGTTTTTTAACCTCTCCTCATCGGCCAGGAGTTCGAAACCTTTGATCCCTTTTGGCGCTCTCCTCTGGCCTCTCTCCAGTTTATCCACCTTTTTCCTAAAGTGCAGCACCCAGAACTGGACACAGGACTCCAGCTGAGACCCTGCCAGCGCTGAGGAGCGACAGGGACTTCCCACACCTGACCCACCACCCTCCTGTTAATACACCCCAGAACGAGGCGAGTCTTTTTAGCAATGGCTTCGCTGTGGTGGCTCCCATTCATCTATAACCCCCAGATCCTTCTCAGCCGTCCGACGACCTGCCTAGCTACTCCCCACTTTGGAGCTGCGCATTTGATTTTTCCTTCTCCAGTGAAATACTTTGCCCTTGTCTTTACTGAATTTCATCTCTCTCCAATTTGTCCAAGTCATTTTGAATTCGAGCCCTGTCCTCCAAAGTGCCCGCAACCCCCTCCCCCCCGGCTTGGACATCCGCACATGCCAGAAGCGCAGTCCCCACTCCATTATCCAAGTCATTAATGAAAATATTGACTAGGACCAGACCCAGGTCTGACCCCTGCGGGACGCCGCAAGAGACATCCTCCCAGGTCTACAGCTATAACTCCTCCACGCATCTTATACTAATTTCATCTAGATCACACTTCCCTCAGTTGCTGACGAGGTCATGCGTCAAAAGCCCACCTAAAATCAAGATCTATCATGTCTACTGCTTCCCCCCACCCGCGAGGCCAGGAACCCTGTCAAAGAAGGAAATTAGCTTGGTTTGGCGTGATTTGTTCTTGACCAATCCATGCCGGCTAATTCCTTGTCACCCCATTGTCCTCTAGGGGCTTATAAATTGATGGTTTAATCATCTGTTCCACTGCCTTTCCAGATATCAAAGTCAGGCTGACTGGTCTGTGATTCCCGGGGGCCTCTTTGCTCCCCTTTTAAAGATCGGCACTATGTTTGCCCTTCCCTGGTCCTCCGGGATTGCTTAAGTCCTAATGACCCTGCCTGGGGTAACCCACACCAAGGGCTCGTGTATGCTAGCGACGTGGAGATGCGGCTTGTACCGACAAAGGAAGTTCTATTCCAGCACAGCGTTGTCTCCCCGAACGCCATCAGCTATGTATCTCCACCGGGTGTTGTGGTGGGACAGCTATGCCAGGAGGAGGTTGTGATTATGTCACACGCCCAGACAACACAGCTATGCCGGCAAAACTTTGTAGCTAGACGAAGCCCTACGCACAGATGTTGCACCGGTTTAAGGTCAATCGGTTTAATTGTGTGTGGACACTCTTATATGGGTTTCAAACCGGTTTAGCTTGCGCCTGTAACTTTAGAGGCAGGAGCCAGGTTTAAAGTCGTATAGGAACGTCCACACACACAAACGTTGCATCTCGTTTAACTACATCAGCGTGAAAATCACACCCTTTGATCCAGTAATACACGTGTGGGTGTAGGGTAGGCTCGAGAGAAGGGGAGCGCTTTGCTCGTCTTCACGGCAGATTTAACTCAGGTTCAAGAACTGGTTTCCCCCATCACACGCTTCACATTCAGACACCGCTACCCGAGCCACATGGGGCGGACGCTGAGTTAGCAATCCGAGGGATGAGCTAACTGCAGTCACAACAATCAATAGATGATGGTCCTCCAATCCCTTCCCACAAGCCCCCTCGGCGGCCAATGCTGTGTACGCTCTAGCCATCTGACCCAGGGCCAGAAGTGATCTGCCTTCACATGCCTCTGCTTAGCGTCCTCAGGTTCACACCACTGCAGCGTCAGGCGGCTCAGGCCAATGCTTGCAGCACGGAACGGCCAGGGTTTGAACCCTCCAATCGGGCGGAGCATGGTGCGTGTGAACTCCCCCAGGGACAAGCCAACAACCGTTTTGATTTTCTATCTTTCTACTAATCCCCTCTCCCCATCCGCCGTCACGCACACAAAACGGTCCGACTTGCTACAGCAACTAGAGAGACCGTCCGCATGGCGTTACGCCTCCATCCTTAACCTCCAGCAGCTGATCACCCCAGTCTGATCCCGCTGGGGTACATGGCTACACAAGGGGGATGGGAGAGGGGGTCGGACCCCAACAAAGTTACTATTCACAGCCTCCCAACTCCTGAAATGTAGATTTTTTTACATTACATTTTAAATGTTTTTTTTTTTTAAACTTTCCCTGTCCCCATAACCTAATTATGGGGAAAGTTTTATCAGCTCCAAGGGGTACCGACTCCTGGGATAGGGCACTGACTTAAAAAGAAAACGGAAGGTTGCAAAAAAAAAATTCTAAGAGGGATAACGATGTTTTCATGTTGGCATTTTAATTTCCAATTTGGGGGTGTGGTTGTTTTTTCTTTTAATTTAAAAATGTTCACAGATGCAACAACCACAACAATAGTAATAATACTTAGCAGCTTTTCCAAGGTAAGAATCATTATCCCCATTTTGCAGATGGGGAAACTGAGGCACAGAGAGGGGTAAATCGGTAGCAGAGCTGGGAACAGAACCCAGGAATCCTGACTCCCAGCCCCCTGTAATAACCACCAGTCCACACGCCATTCCCAGAGCTGGGAACAGAACCCAGGAGTCCCTGACTGCAAAGCAACACAGAAGTGAAACTGACTAGAAAGGGAATGTGAAATTAACCAGTGTCATTTCAAGAAAACATACAGCATCAATTCCAGGAATGGAAACAGGGCCTAGTGCTTAAGAAGCAGCATGTGAACAGGTCAATGAACACACACACACACACGCTTACAGATGAATCCTGTCTGTGTTTGCAGGATCGGGGTCTACATGTTTAAAATCACAACTTGGAATCTTGCCATTAATCGGAAAGGATTCAAATAGATTACTCTTTTTCTTTTGCCTCGACAATGCCCCTTGCTATTTAAAAAACAAACACGGCCTTGCATATCGCATTCAGGGTCTCATCTATGCTGGATTTTGGTTTTACATCAGCGTAGCTATAGTGACGTCAGTGTCAACCCTCCGCGCCCCTCCCCCCCAAAAATCAGAAAAAAAGTTGCATCAGGTTGAACAAAACCTGTTCACCCTGAAGCAGAACGTTTTGTTTTGGAGCATTTTTGTAATGGTATTTCTAAAATAAAATTGAAGGTCATTTCTAAACCACACGTTATGTTGAAACATTGAAATAATTGGAAAATGTCAAAACAAAACGTTTCGGGGGACGGGTTGGGCCAAAACAATTGGGTGAAACTGCCCCGGTTCGGCGGCGAATCTGCCTTTTTCAGCCAAAAGAAATCTCGGCCAACACTTTTCACCCAGCTCTGCCGCTGATCTCGAATTTCAAGTTAGCGTAACCCGACACCCCTTGGCTGGGGACTGAATCTCAGACTTGTGGCAAAAAAAGCCAAAACTGGGACCGGGTGAGCGAAAAGATGTGGCCCATTCGAGGATTCAAACCTTTACATGCAGCCTGGCCACTCGAGGGAGACAAAGCAACAGGAAATTGGGTTGGCTCCGCGGAGGGTTCAAATCCCCATAGTCACTTGTGAGTCGCTGCACTCGGACCTGACACTACGTGGTGGGAAGGGGAAAGAAGAAAAAATCCAGTGTAGACACAATGTGAAAAGACATCACAGCCAGAAGCGTTGCTCTGTCACTTGCTTTAAAAAAAAAAGCCCCCATTCAGAGACGCACACGTTAAGACCCATCCTTTATCTCCACCCTCATCACTGCAACACGCGGATGGATGAAAGAAAACAGCGGGACTTTGGCACAAGATGAATAAGGTCAAAGGCCCATTTTGACTGAATTCAAGAGGAACTTAAAGAGGTGCTTAAAGTTAAGCGCATGCTTACATGCTGTCTTGAACAGATGCTTTTTAGAAATCAGGGTCTTCATTTGGATTTTTATTTTCCTGTAAAAATCATCCGGTCACACTTTGTACGAAGGCTCCATTCGTAAGCGGTTTGCACGGGGTTAATGACGGCTTGAATGCATGGTTAATCCGTTCTCAGGGATGGTTATCGAATCCAATGGGCAGCTTAGACCCAGCTGCCACACATCCTCCGCTCCTGTCTTTGATATGCTTGAGATATGATCCATCATTTATTGCCCCTTTGCAAACCACCTATAAACAGAACCTGCATATAAAGCGTAATCAATTATTTACAGATCTATTTAAAGAGAGCTCATTAAAAGCATGGATCCTGCACAACGCGAAGGGGAGGAAGGGGGGGAATTCCCCGATTTGACTCACAAGGCTACCCACAAAAACATCCGCCCGCCCGGGAAGAACAGCGTGAGATCAAAACTGCCCATGCCACCGACCCCTCTCTCATTACCCACACTGCATTAGGAACCGAGGATGATTTTGGTTTTTTAAAGAGACGGTGCAACTTTTTTTTCCCCCTGGCAAACCGAAAACAAAAAACAAAAAACACATTAAAATCAAATCAACGTGGGACGCTAAAAATAATCAACTTAAGAAATTAAAATAAAATAAATCAGTGAATGGAAAGGGCTAAAGGGAGGAAGCGGTTTTTACTGGAGGCTCTCGGCCGAGGTCCCTGCATCCCCGTCGTGACTGCCTGTCTCAAAGTTGTGCTCCACTCCCATGATGTCCGGCTCCATCTTCCCAGTGTCGTTGATGAACGTGGTGTAGGTGTCCCCTTCTGCCATCAGCAGCTTCAGCTTGGGGATCCAGCTCTTACGGACCACGCGCCGGGCGTTCGTGCACATGTCGGCGGCGATGGCGTTCATCTCGCTCTCTTTGAAGTTGGGGGCGAAGTTCTGGCAGTAGACTGGGGAGCGGGGCGGAAAAAGAAGACGCTTATTAGTCAGGCAACCAAGTTATCACCCCCCTGGAAAGTTGTGAGACCCTCTCCCAGTGCCAGATCCACAGAGGACAGGAGCCTGTTGGAGCCCAGCGTAGGATGGGGGAAGCGAGGGGGTGTTAAGTAGAACAGGGCAAAACATTTCCCCCCAGCCCAAAGAAAAATGCAGCTTCCATTTGGGCTGGATTAGCTGCCGCGGGGGGGCAGGGTTAGCTGGGGGGGGGGGAGCGCAAGGTCCTGCGTTCAACCCCACCCCCCTACTTCCCAACTTTTCTAAATTGTCAACAAACGAAAAAAATCTGTTCTTTGCCCTGCTGGTTAGGAACCAACTATCGGAAACCAACCGACAACAAACAAAAATCCTGTTTTCCAGAGTGATTAAAATAGTCTAAAAACAGCCAATATTAGATCTGGGGTAAAAACGGTGGGAATTATTATTATTTTAAAAAACAAGAAGCTTTTTAAGCTTGGGCCGACATTTATTGACTGTCCCTCTGCAGCCTCTGGCCAGCAGGGGGCATGATCTCAGTGATGGGAAATTCCTGTCTCTGCCTTTAGATCCCCATTCTCTACCCGCCCACACACATATCATGAGTGTAATTCTCCCTCTGTGCATCTGGGGTCCTCTGTGCTGTTCTGCAAAGGAGAGTCTGGCCCTTTAACGGGGGCGGGGACAGGATTAGGCCACCCCTTCCTAGGGTGACCAGATGTCCCGATTTTATAGGGACAGTCCTGATTTTTGGGTCTTTTTCTTATATAGGTTCCTATTACCCCCCACCCACTGTCCCGATTTTTCACATTTGCTGTCTGGTCACCCTACCCCTTCCCCAGATGGAGAGTACAAGGGTCATGTGACAGGGAGCATGTGACTCAGAACTAGAGTGACCAGACAGCAAGGGTGAAAAATTGGGACGTGGGTGGGGGGTAATAGAAGCCAATATAAGAAAGAGGCCTGAATACTGGGACTGTATTCAGACTACTCAGAACAGAGACCCCCCCCCTGCAATGCTCAGAACCAGAACTCTTGGAGGAATTCAGACAGGCCTTGGCATCACAGCCGTCTCTGTGCCCGCTGGGTCTCTGGGCCTGCCCCTCGCTGGTCTCTGGATGCTCAGGCCAGGATCTCCTTAATGAGCCTGATGCAAAGGGCATGAAGCTCAATGGGGAAGATGCAACGGGCTTCGGGTCAGGCCCCATAGCGTCACTGGGACTCCGAGCAGCCCACCTGGATGGGGGGCAGTACCATCTGCTGGGAGACTGGCTTTCGGAGCTCCGCTCATCCCCCATGGGGCCTGAAGGATGCTGCCTTGTGGAGCCCCTGCCCCACATACTCACACTTCACGGCATGCAGGACCCTGCTGTCCAGCGGCTTCCGGCTAGGGTCGTTGGTGGACGAGCGGATGCCGGTGCCACAGCTGTTTGCCAGAGTGTTCCTAGCGAGGGGAAAGCATTGAGAATGAGAACTAAAGACCCTCTCGCCACTGCCCTGCTCTGACCCCTAGACCCCCCCATCCCCTACTCAAATGTGGGCAAAGAACCTGGGAGTCTTCACTCCCAGTGCCCCCCGCTCTACCCCCGCCAGTCCCTTACCATAGGTCGGGGGGAACCCAGTTCTGATTCCTGGCCCCTTGTGCTCTAACCACTAGACCCCACTCCCTTCCCGGAGCTGGGGCTACAACCCCGGAGTCCTGGCTCCCAGCCCCACTGCTCTAACCCTCCGGCCCCCACATCCCTCCCAGAGCCAGAGAGAGAACCCAGGAGTCCTGGCTCCCAGCCCCCCTGCTCTAACCCTCCAGCCCCCACATCCCTCCCAGAGCCAGGGAGAGAACCCAGGAGTCCTGGCTCCCTGTGCCGCATCAGGCCTGGCAGGACAGGGAAGGGGACAGGAAAAGGGAGCCGCAGCCCCACCCCCACAGTACAGAAAGTCAAAATTCACCGATCGAAAAAGGAGGCCAGAAGCCGCCTCAGAAGCACTTTGTGCCGCGTCCCGGCGCTGACGTGGCAGTTCATCAGCTGCGCCCGGGTGATGTACACGTTCGTGCCTAGGCGGGGTGGGAAAAAAAATACCCATTATGACCCAGACGTGTCCCTCTGACCCCCCACAAGGGGGCGCGACTAGGGAACAGCCTCCATTCCTGCCTCGCTGCTGAGCCCACAGAACGGAGCCGGAGCAGAACTCGCCGTGGGATGGGAGCCTCGATCCCCGACCTGGCGGCGACAGCCAGCGGCTTCTGCGTGGCGATGGGAGGTCCTGGCTTCGGGGCAACACGGGATGGGGGACGGGGCTGTAATGCTGCATACGCTAGGGCATGGGAGGTTAACGACAACGATCGGGGCCCGCTGCTGTGCTCAGGACCCCATGGACCCCCCCACCATGACGAAATTCGGGGTCCTCTGCTGTATCGCATGCCCCATGGGCCCCCTCCTATAACCAAGGTCAGGGTCCCCTGCTGTGCTGGTCACCCCACAGACCCCACCCCCAGCCGAGATCGGGGTCACCTATTGTGCCAAGCACCACACACGCACCCCCCAGCCGAGATCGGGGTCCCCCCATCATTAGGGCCCTACCAAATTCACCGTCAATTTTGGTCAATTTCACAGCCATAGGATTTTTAAAACTGTAAATGTCACGGTTTCAGTGACATTTCAGGGGGTTGTAACCCTGGGGGTCATGGGCTGGGGGGGGGGGTCGCAAGGCTATTGTAGGGCAAGTCGCAGTATTGCCACCTCACTTCTGCGCTGCTGCTGGCGGCGGAGCTGCCTTCAGAGCTGGGTGGCCAAAGAGCAGCAGTTGCTGGCCAGGTTCTGAAGGCAGCATGGCCGCCAGGAACAGCACAGAAGTGAGGATGGCATGGGGCGGGGGGGGGGGGGTTTCCTCACTTGGGGGGGGGGGGGCAAGGCCGGCCTATACCATGGTGGGGGGGGTGACCAGTCCAAGGCCCCTTTGACCTCTGAACGCCGGGACACAGGGCCCAGAGGCAGGGAAAGCCAGGGCTGGGGTCCTGGCCAGGCTGGTGAGGGACCTTCCTCTTCCCCTGCAGGGGCTGCTTCCGGGGTCGGCTCAGATCCACCTCCAGGAACCTTCCCCGGTTGCACGAAGCTCCGCGGCTGCTGGCAGGGAGCCCAGCTCTGAAGGCAGCACAGAAGTAAAGGTGGCAATATCGCTCCCCCCTACAATAGCCTGGTGACCCCCCACAACCGCAGTTTGGGTCGGGACCCCTCGTTTGAGAAACACTGGTCTCCCCTGTGAAATCTGGTCTTCTGTGTACTTCTACCCTACGCTATACGGATTTCACGGGGAGACCAGATTTCACAGTCCGTGACGCGTTTTTCACAGCGGTGAATTTCTTAGGGCCCTACCCATCATTCAGGGCACGGCACAGTCCCTCTCCCCAGATTGAGATTGGAGCCCTCTCTCATGCGGGAGGCTGCACAGACAGCTCCCGCCCCTGAGCGAGTCCCCAGCAGTCCAGGCCCTGCATAGACCCAGGGTGGGATGGGAAACTGAGGTACAGGGTGGGGGGAACTTGCCCGAGGTCACCCAGTAAGGCAGTGGCAGAACTGGGAACAGAACCCAGGCCTGGCGAGTGCCAGCCCATTGGGCCTCACTGCCTCTCCTGTCACTGGCTCCCATTCGCCAGTGCCCAGGAACACGTGCTCAGCTCCCGGTAAGGGAAGAACCCCACTGAGTTTGAGTTTGGATCAAGCCCTAAAATAGCGGCAGCATATTCGCCTGCTGCAACTCAATTAGCCCCCCCGCCCCCAAACCCAGACTGGTCTCTGCCTCCCCCCCCCCCCCCAGTTCTGCCCACCCCCCACCTCCCCGCACCTGTCACCAGCTCCAGCTTCTCAGCAGGGTCGCCCTCGTCGTACAGCTTGGGGTGACACCGGTTCCCGATCTGGTTGATGAGCTCGGCCGGCAGCGACGCCAGGTCCTGCCGCACCCGGATCCGGTTGCGAGACTCAGAGGCCACCTGGTCGGGCAGGGCTTCCACCTTCTCTGCGGCTGCTGCTGCTGCTGCGGGCCGGGGGGAGTAGAGGGTGAACACACAGAACACAGCTCCTGCCTAAACATTCAGGCTAGTGGGGTGGGGGTGGCCTGGGAGCCAGGACTCCTGGGTTCTTTCCCTGGCTCTGGGAGGGGAGTCTAGTGGTTAGAGCAGGGGGGACTGGGAGTCCGGACTCCTGGGTTCTACTCCCAGGTTTGCCACCAACTCACTACAGCGACCAGGACCCGTGATTCTTTGTGTCGGTTTCCCTTTCCGGGAGCCGACGGTAATTTTTAACCCCCGCACAGACGGGATCTGGAGCGCGAGGGGTTTGTCTCTCCAGCTGGAGAAGAGCGAACTCTCCCCTGTTACAAGGGGGACCACCGGCCCAGCTCCCCTCCCCTGCCATGGGTCCGTGTGAATTTAAACGCTCCCTTGCAGACGGGCTTCTCTAGCCGCTGAGTGGGGTGAGCCCCGAGAAAGACCCTCAGCCCCACCGCTGAGCCCTGCTTTGATAGCAACCTGGGTGTGCCCGGCCCACTGGGAACTGGGCTGAGACCCAGCGAAACTCAGGCTGAGCCTTTATCCAAGTAGAAGCCTGGAAGAGCTGCAGAAACCCCAGAAAAACCAGCATCTCCAGGCCTTGCCCAGGTCGTTGATTTAAGGTTTCTACACCCAGATGTTGCCGCTCACATCCTTGTCTTACCCCCGCCGCTGGGGTATCTGGGTGCCTCACAATCTTTAATGCATTTCTCCTGGGAGGCAGGGATCCCCAGTGTACAGGTGGGAAACTGAGGCACAGAGAGACCAAGCAACATGCCCACAGTCACACTGGGAACTTGTGGCAGAGCTGGGAATTGAACCTGGGTCTTCAGGGCACTGGGCCACCCTTCCTCTCTTGAGTTCTCTAAGCTCTTCCAGGCCAGACTCTCCAGCTAGCGTAGCTGGATTCACCTCGCAATGCAAACAAGTCATCGTCCTCGCCCGCCCATAACCCTGACATCGAATGTATCACACCCAGCAGCAGAGCAGAAGCCCCGCCCCTTCCCTCAGCCACTCCCCAAAGGGGTGGAGCAATAAAAGTCCCTCCCCTTCCCCCAGCCACTGCTCTAGGGAGAGAGAAGCAGTATAAGCTCCGCCCCTTTCCCAAGCCCCTCCCCCTGAGAGGCGGAGCATTAAGGGCCCCTCCCCACTCGGCCATGCTCACCTGTCTGCCCTACATTCATCATGCTGTACATCGTGTACATGTTGCAGATCTGCCGGTACTGCTCATCGGAGCCTTCCTCGGCCGCGTCCTCCTCTTCATCCTCCTCGTTGTGATAGGAGCTTGGGCTGTCGCTCGTGTAGGCGCTGGACGTGCCGGGGCTGGTCTGGTCGGACGTGCTGGGCCCGCTAACCACGCCGGACCCGCCTCCTCCTCCTGCTTGCGCTCCCTGCTGCTGCTGCTGCCGGCTGCCTCCTAGGTCCTGCGTGGAGAACTTGGCCATTTTGCGGCTCCCGTTGTTGCCTCCTCCCCCACCTCCGCCGCCTCCTCCCTCCTTCTGGCCGTTGTCCCAGAGCCGCTTGACCACGAAAGTGCACTGGACGGAGTCCGACTCCTGCTGCTCTGTCTTGACGCGGGACACCAGGGGCAAGGGGGTGTTACAGGAGGGCCAGGTGGAGGTCTGGGCCACGGGGCTCTGGGGCTCGGAGGAAGGGGTCTCCTCGGCGTGCAGGCCCTGGGAGTCGCAGCTGGGGGAGCTGACCTTCAGGAAGAACTCAGTCCCTTTCTCCATGATCTCCTGGATCTGGAGGAAGCCGGCCGTGTACATCAGCAGGAACTGGTCTCCCACGTTCATGCTCAGCCGGCCCGTGTAGCAGAAGCTGAGGATCTGCTGGAAGGACTGGGGCTGCACAGCCGCCGGCAGCTCCACCACCGCGCTCTTGCTGTTGTTGAAAAGGTCCCGGAAGTAGGAGCTACTGGCCGCCAGGACGGCCCGGTGAGCCTTGAAGGCGTGGCCTTTCACCACCACCGAGACGTCGCAGTACAGCCCCTGCAGGCGCTGCTCGTTCAGGCACTCCAGGATGCTGTTGCCGAAGTTGGGGATCTCCATCTGCAGCGTCTGCGCCATAGTCGCCTCCTCCTGGCTTGGGGTGGGGGTGGGGAGGCGGGGGGGGTCTGCTGGAGACAGGGAGGAGGGGAAAGCCACGGGGAGGGGAGAGGAGGAGACGGACGGATGGATACACGTGACCATGGGTGGGCATGCCCCATGACGGATGGACGGGTGGGTATGGACGCACATGGCCCACAATCAGATACACCAGTGGAGATGCAGGGGGATGGACAGATAGGTACGGATGACAGCAGATGGAGACGGACAGGTGGGTGGATATGACGACAGAGACAGACAGACGGGGTAGGTGGATGCAGACATGGAGAGAGAGGTAGAAAAGGAGAGGGAAGAAGAGAAGACAAGGGGAAGGCAAACAGGGAGAGCGAGCGGCGTGGATGGGGGAAGAGAACCAGAGGTGGGGGGAGACAGGCGAGACACGGAAGCAGGGGGTGGGGGACATGATAAAAGGGAGCGGGGGGGGGGAATAAAAAGGAAAGTGCGTTAGCTATTTGCCTGGCTGTGGCGGAGCGTCCCCGTCCCGTCAGGCAGGTTCACATTAAGATCTTTAGGCTGCCGCTGTGTGGGGCCCGCGTTGTATTTAAACCCTGGGGAATGAACCCGCAGTGGGGTCCAGCAGAAGGGGTTGAACCTGACGCCTCTGGATCCCACAGCCGGAGTCCCTCCTGAGCTAAAAAAGAAGCCCATTCGCTCAGAGGCAACCACAGGCTGATAAAACCCAATCCGTGTCCGTAGGATACTTTCATAGACCCCACGGCCAGAAGGGACCATCGTGATCTGTAGAACCCAGGCCACAGAACGGCCCCGAACGAATTCCTAGAGCAGAGCTGTTAGAAACACCCCCAGCTACGGAGAAGCTGTTGGTAAGTTGTTCCACTGGTTACTCTCAGTCTGAGTTTGTCTAGCTTCAACTTCCAGCCAGAGGATCGTGCTCGAACCTTCCTCGGCTAGTCAGAAGAGCCCGTTACTCCCCAGGTAGATCAAGTCACCCCTTAACCTTCTCGCGAATAAGCTAAAGGGATTGAGCTCCTGGAGCCTGTCATCATGGGGCAGGTTTTCTATTCCTTTAGATCATTCTTGTGGCTCTTCTCTGACCCCTCTTCAATTTATCAACATCCTTCTTGAATCGTGGGCACTGGATTCCAGCCGGGGTTGCCCCAGTGCCGAATGCAGAGGGAAAATCTCCTCTCTGCTCCTACTCCACATTCCCGTTTATACATCCCCGGATCCCACTAGCTGTTTTGGCCTCAGCGTCGCGCTGCTCAGCTAATTATCCACCACAACCAAATCTTTTTCAGAGTCCCTGCTTCCCAGGAGAGAGCCCCCCGGCCTGGACGCACGGCCGACGCTCTCCGTTCCGAGCCGGACCCATTTACTGTTAGCTGTAAACAGTGTTCGCTTCCGTCAGTGACCCGTCATCGTCATTGTTTGCCCCTCCTCCAATCGGTGAAAACTGCAATGCCTCACCCCTCCCAAACCGTGCCTGGAGGTAGGGCGGTGCTATTCACCCCATTGTACAGATGGGAAAACTGAGCCACAAAGAAGCCCAAGGTCACATGGGGAGTCTGTGGCACAGCAGGGAACTAAACCCGGTCGCCCAAGTCCCAGGCTGGTGTCCTACCCCCTGGAAATCCTGACACATCCGGGGGACCAAACCTGGGACCCCTGGATCTTAAAGCATGAGCCTTGGCTACCTCTGCTAGAAGACTCGGCTCTGTCCACCAAGGCTAGTCCAATCTTTAAGTAGCCCAGTCACCACTCCAAGGGGACAGAGCACCACACCTCGTGGGTGTGGTGTGCACGTCCAATCCCTCTTTGACTCTTGCCAAGTTTTTGGCCTCCACACCGTCCCGTAGCAGTGAGTTCCACAGGTTAATGATATGTTGGAGGGACAAGTATGTCCTTTGATCCATTCTGTAATGGTTACAAAGACACAGCGCGCCCGTGAGCACGCACGAGCTCTTAGCCACGCGGCCATCTTTTCTCCAAACCCTTGCTAACAAGGCAGGAAATCAGAGCCACTTTCATGCTCCCAGCCCGTCACGGAGACTTGCCAAGCCTATCAAATCGCTATGGAACGAAGCTGGGAGGAGGGTTAATTTATTCGTGATTAGCAGAACAATTTGCTAGACTTTTTTTTTCTTTTAAAGCTAATTGATTTTTTAAAAAATCCCAAGAGAACAGGAGAGACTCCACCTGCCTCTGACTCACAGGGGCCCCCAGCCTGGGGCTGGATCAGAGCCAGCACCCCCCAGAGAGGAAAGAGGCCGTGTCCCAGTTCCTGGCCCCCTGAATGAACCGCTCCCCAAACCTGGGGCTGGATGAAAGCTGGCGCCCCATAAAGGGGAAAGGCCCTGAATCCCATTCCCTCCTGCCCCCGAGCCAGCCAGTCCCCTAACCGGGGCTGGATCAGAGTCGACCCCCCCTAGAAGGGAACGGCCCCATACTCCTTTCCCTAACCGGCCCCCGTGTGCTGTACGTCTTTGATGGGCGTGGGGGAGGCGAGATGGAGTGAGCAGCACGGGCGACTCCTGCACCATTTCGAGCTGTGGCAGACACTGAAACCAGGATAAAAAACCACCAAGCGAGCGAGCGGGAGTAAACACTGGCTGAACCAACTAGCCACGCAGGGATGCAAAGCAGGAGCGCAGAAAGGTAACCAAGCGAACAGAGTATTGACTTATCCACCACGTGATGTGCTTGTCTCCACAGACACTGCCGCTGGGAGCCGGGGACTGATCCGAGTACCCCACCGGCATCTCCCCAATCCCGGAGCGGGGAGAAAACCAAGGCCCCCTGTGGCTTGGTCGTCTCATCAGCCCAAGCCCCGATGAGCCGCCTTCTCTCCAGCCCTAGAGTTAGCCATTTCAAGAAAGCCCAGCCACGGTGGATATGGGGCGTCCCACTCCCAATTTTACACTGGGGGGGGAGGTGGAAGGCCAAGGTACAAGCATTTGCCTAAAGCTGCACAGGGAATCAGTGGTGGTGCTGTAGAGAGAACCCAGGAGCCCTGGATTCTAACTCCGCTCTAATCACTAGGCACCACTCCCCTCCTACAGCTGGGGATAGAATCCAGGAATTCTAGCTTCTAGCTCCCACCCCCTGCTCCAACCTCTAGACACTACTCCCCTCTTAGAGCTGGGCAAGGAATCCAGGAGTCCTGGCTTCCTGCCCCCACTGCTCCAACCACTAGACACTACTCCTCTCTTAGAGCTGGGCACAGAACCCAGGAGTCCTGGCTTCCCGCCCCTCCTCCCCCATTCTAACAGAACAGAATCCTCCACCCCCTGCCGTCCCAGCCTTATTCCTTGGCTTCCTGTTCACCTCCTTTCAAGCTCCCTCTCCCTCTGACTTTTCTAAAAAGCCTTTGAAATATTGGGATGCTCAAGTCTCTTCTTTCTAACAGGGGCAGACCAGGAGTGGGCGCTCGCTGAGATGCCTCCGTGCCAGGGAGAAGCCAGGTGCTGAACCTTTGAACAGACAGCCTTTTCCTCACAGCTGTCTGGTCAGGGTGAGCGCCCATAAGTGGCTGCCATGGATGGAATTCCACCGCAGCAGCACTTTGTAATAAAGGCAAAACTCCAATCCCGAGCTCTCGTCCGGCACGCCTCACGAACAGATCTCAAAGGAGGTCATTGTCATCCTTATTTTACTGATGGAGAAACCGAGGCACGGAGCGGGGTAAGTGACTCACCCAAGGGCCCCCAGCAGGCCAGTGGCAGAGCTAGGAATAGAACCCAGGTGACCCGAGACCACTAGGCCGCACCGTGCTAGGCGCTGTACAAATGCAGAACAGGATGACAGTCCCACTCTCAAGCAGCTCATGCCTCGTCAGAAACTTATTCATTCTCTGCTCCTCCCAGGACCGGAATTCCTAATGCAAACCTTTCTGGGCAAAGGCACCATCATAACAAAAACAAGGGCAAGTTTTTCCTCCGCCTTCTTCTGCCGGCTACTTATAAGATTCCTTCTAAAAAAAGAGAAGCGAAAGGAAGGTCTTGTGGTGAAGATAACGGACCGGGACTCGGGGGCCTGGGCTCCGTTCCTGGCATCGCTCAGCCTTGTCTACTTGGAAAAGTCAAACTGGTTTAACTCACGTTTGTTTGTTTTAAAGACCCGGGTAACCGACCATCATCTTACCCATCGGCCAGCCCCTACCGATCAGAGCCGGCTGACCCTCCACCCTGATCCTACATACACAACTCCAGCTCTGAGCCACACCAGCTCTTCGCTTTGGAGACCTCTGCTGAGTCTGGCTCGGCCCAGCTCCCACCCATCCCACAGGTAGTTTGGTGCTGGATCAGCTGTCTCTGTAGGCCCAGAGCAGGACTAGCCACCTAACTCACCCCTCTGTCTCAGGGACCCGCCTCTGGGGGGAAGGGAATTCACTTGTAGTCCCTTGAATCCCACCGACTGCAGCAGCCAAGGAAGGAACAAGGCTGAGACCCGACAACTCGTTCCACTTAAGGGGCCACCTGCCTGATCGGGGTGGCGTTCAGCCTCCCCCAGTCCAGGGAAGAGTAATACCTGCAGCCCAACTAGCCCCCCATGGTCCCAACCTCTCTCTCCACCCACGCCTGCTTGCTCGCCACCTGGTTCAGACACCGGATACCCGCCGAGGTTCCCAAATCGCAGGAGGAAGGGGTAGGGTAACCGTCAGATCAGAGGGAGCCTTTCACATCAAACTCAGGGACACTGACAGACGGGCTGGGGGAGCGGAGACAACTCCCCTGCACTCGCTATTGATTCGCATTGGAGGCCCTGACCCGCGTCCCTGACCCAAAGAGTTTTTAGTCTCAAGACACTAAGCACAGAGACTTTGGCATGCTACCATCTCTGCCTCTCCCGGGAGGGAGAGGGATGCCAGAGCCTCTTTAGTAGGGGTTCCCCTCTGCCAACCCCACTCCAAGCGAGGGGAACCCCCTGGTTCCTGGGGAAACTGAGGCATGGGGCGATGCGGGAACAGACCCAAAGTCTTGCCCCAGGGCAGTGGGCTCCCCCACAAGGCTGC